TACTGGAGAAACTTTGTAAACTAAAAATTTTAAAACCAGATAGGATCCTTTAGATTTTTCCATTCTAATATACATAATTTGCTGTAAAACTGAGTGAACATAACCATTAGAAGTCTCAAATTATACTTTTTCCATTTATATCAGTAACTTCAGTAATGATTTCGATAAGTGACTAACTCTGTGGTCATTAAATACTGAATAATTATAGTATTGTAGAACTGCAGTTCTACAATAAAGAATGGATTAAGTTCTACAATGGTTGGATAAAGAATTTTGACAATTACTGGTTAATACAGATAAGGTTATATTCTCAGACTATTGGAAAAACTGTTGCAGCTATAAAGTGATGACATTTGTCAAAATCCTCATTAAATTACAATTGTTTTGCCATTAGTTAGTGCATATTTTCCTTCTGTATTTTTTTCAGGGCAAGTTTGTATTCCAGCAAGAAACAAGATAGTGCTTTGAGACTTGCTATAGTTTTAGCCTGCTGTTTTGGCCGTTTGTTACTGGGTGAACTGCAGAATGTAAATGGATTATCATAGGGGAACTTTGGAGTACTTACTTCACTGCTTTGAAATGGAAAAGTATGTGTCAGGAGCTCACCTTTTCTCTGCTGCTTTGAGATACTTGGGACTTTCTCAAAACTTTGCACTAGGAGACCTGAGATGCTGAGTTATTATGTAAGATTACTATGTTATTATGGAGCACAAAATCACATAAACTGGAAAGGACCTGAAAAGGAGATGTCTAGTCCAACCACCTGCTTAAAGAAGCTTTGAGGTCATCCAGGTTGCCCAGGATTTATCTATTTGGGTCTTCATGCCCTACATGGGCAGAGACTAGGCAAACTTGCTTTACTATCCTCAGAGTGAGAAAACTTTTCTTCATACCCTCTCTCATCTGACATGAGTTGTTCCTTGTCCTTCTGCAGTGTAGCACTGTGAAGAGTCTGGCTGTCATCTTGGTATGCTCCCCATTGTACTTGGGGGGCTGCTGTTAGGTAACCCCAAAGCCTTCCCATCTCCAAAGGGAACAAATGCAGCTTCCCCAGTCTCTCCCCATACATGAAATGCTCTAATCTTTGCCATCTTGGTGGCCTCTGCTAGGATTTTGCTAATTTAACAGGAAATACATCACTTACTTTTTTGAGAATTATCTAAGGATTCATTTGCATGTCTAAAACTTTTCAAAGTTTTAGACAAAGTTACCTAGTTAGACAATGTATCTCCTCTATCACCTGTTAATGCATTTGCTTAAGGGGCCGGCTGGATTGCAGGTTAAACAAAATTACATCAAGAGCATTTCATAGACAGGTCTTAACTTTCTACAGCATGTCGTCATTCCCATGCCACTTAAAATGTCCTGATTTGCAATGAAAATTGTTTCATGCTTCATAACAACAAAATAATTATTTTTAAACACCACCACCACAGTTTACACACCATGTTTGTGTCTGTTCTACATTACAGCCATGTGGCATAAACCCTGCAGTTTGGTGGGGTGTCTAGGTTCTTCTCTGTCAGTCAACTTTCAGGGTTTCTGTGAAAATTTTCATCCTGGTTTTTGTTCTGTAACTTCATGAAGCTTGAAACAACCAGGATGGAACAATGTAATCTTCCTGCAAAAATATAATTTCAGAAAAATAAACAATAGAACAGAGCAGGGCAAAAAACTTTTAGCTTTCCAGAATTGTTGCTTATAGGAAGCAGATACCTTAGACATACCTTTCTCTGGTAGTTTCAGTTTTAAATTACATCTGTTAAAAAAAATGCATTAGTGTTGTTGTTTTTTTTAATATTTCTAATAATTGTTCTATGTATTTATTTATTCTTTTTACATTACTCCTCATTCCCCAGATTCTATTAAAAAAAAAAAAAAAGGCAAAATCAGAGTCCTGTGAAAGTTCCTGTTGTTTACAGTGCTATTTAAAAAGGGCAAATTATTTAGGAAACTCTTTTTGCATTGACAGCCGTGTGGTGGATATGTGTGATTTGTGATGGTTAGTCCCATACATAGAATTATTTTACCTCCTTTATCAAAAAAAAAGTCTTGCTTCTTAATTTTTCAAACAGCTCAATGTGTCCAAATCTGTATTGTATGTATATTGATTGCAGAACCTGGCTTCATCTTTTTCTTCCCCAAAACACAGTTAATAAAAATATATTTCATAGTTGCTTCTGAAAAATACAAGTTTTACAGAAGAAACTTCAGTCTTTCTAAATAGATGAGAGATGCAGAAATATGTGTCATTAGCATTTCCTCAGAATTCTCCTGGTTTGATTAAGTTACCTCCTAGGCCTTCCTTAAATGACTTTGCAGTCATGAAGGTATTGAAGAGCAGAAACATCTAAAGAATTGACAGCCTTGAAAAATGTAATGTAGTATTTGTAGGAAGATACAAGTCTCTCTCCATTCAGGCTTCAGTCACAACAGCCCACTCTTTGCACACATACAATATTGTAACAGCCCAGAAAGTACAAATTGCATTTTCTAGACAGTAGAGAGATGATTTCTAGCAGAAACATTCAAGCTATTTCATGGCTATTTCTGTTGAGGGTATATTCTCATTATTTGATAAATGGAGTATATGAAATTCTGATAGTATTACTTCTCTGCTGGTGTGTGACAGGTGTGTAAGTAATGATCTACATTTTGTCAAATACTTGTGTTGTTTTATCTTGTGGATAATTTTATTATTTAAATTCTTACCTATGTGCTATTAACAATCTTTTAAAGAGTTTTTTCTATAACACAAGTCTGAAATTTAGTCTTTAGGCTACATCACGCTTACATGCATCTCTTCTTTCTTGTGAGAAGAGGAGCTTTGTAGTTGTATAGCAGTGGAACTTAGGACATGTGCATACACACATCAAATGTAGAATGACATCTCAGTACAAAAATATACTTTTATTGAAGAAGATGTTTTACTTGACTGAAGTTTTGCTTATCTTTTCTGATATCCGTACTGTGGATAGAGAAGGAACATTAGGAGTGCTATGACTTGGGTCTTAATGATATTCATATTACCTTTCACAGAAAAAATATAGGCAATATTCAAATTTGGTTTTGCAGTAATTTCAGTAATAGAAGAAGAATAACAAAATTTGCTTAAATATGAGGTCAATACTAGAAAAGGTAAGACTGAAAGAAGCATTATTTCTGATACAAGTAAAGAAATTTGACATGGTAAATGAATGTACTGTCAGATAAAAGGAAGCAATTTATAAGCGTCAGTTTGTTGCTGTAGTCCCAATTAGATATGGAAGTGTGGAATTCATATTGTCCTTCTGGTGCTTATGTGATAGTACCAGAATTTAGTTTCATTTAAAATAACATATAAAATTCTGTAATCAATGAAACTATGATACACAAAGAAAAAAGTTTTGCAGAATAGTGATATATTCAAAGAAAGGTGTCAGTGGACGTTAACTGGTTTCTATCTTCAAAAATTGCAACAACTGTACAAATCAAAAGTATATCATGAAAGCAAAAATTTAAGCTTTAACGCTCAATTTTTATAAAAAGAAAACAAATGTTTTGTATATACTGTTAAGCAACTTCTAATCGAGAGACTCTAGATAGGATTTATGTATAATTTGAAAAGTCAGGAAACACTGCCTGAATTTTAAGATGTCAGGAAAGCAGGCTTTTCTCATGAGAGCAAAAAGCAAATCCAGTGCATTTGAGAAAAATTCCTCAGGTCTAAATGTAATAATGCTGTAGCAAGGATTTCCTGTACAGTTAGCATAAGGAGTTGATTGGCAGGGTGCTTAACGATTATGTTTCTCTTTGTCTGCTTCTCAGAAGCTGACAACATTATGGTTTGTGGCCATCTAGTGGTGAATCCATTTTGAAGATACTAACCTTGTTCAGAATTGTGATAAACCAGTTCTCTAGCTTTGCTGTGCAAAACTGAATTGCAGCACACTTTTGGAGAAAAAAGAATTCTGTACACCTTTTCTTATTTTGCTCTAGTAGTCTTGTTGCAGGAGGATATCATCTGTGAAGATGACAAAACAATTTTTGATGTTAACTCTTAATTTTTGGCAGCCAGTTTTAATGTGTATGGGAGGTTCATTTTATTCTGTAATTTTTGATGTCTAAGCCCGTAGTAGTACAGTAGTGAATTTATTTCTTAAACAGAAATTTGCAAATTTTATAAGCTGCATGTTTCCAAGATACAGATATTTTCTAAAATGTCTTTGATTATTATACCTTAATTCTGAAAGCAATTCATAATTCCCAGTTTTCTGTGACTCGTGAGAAATTTGACAAACAGTATGGTGGTTTTCCTGCTAAAGTTCTAATTACTAAATTGCCTTAGTAATAATCTTTTTCTGGTATATTTTTCTGAGCAATGTTTTAAAATGTCATGGGAAAATTATTCTGGCATAAACAGAAGAAATTAATACAAGCACCATTAGGAAATAGAGTAGTAAAAGAACTATACCAAGTCATGTCTTGGATAAGATGAGTCTACATGATTCATGAGACCTGGTGGACTTTTAACATCTGCCAAGTCTCTAACAGTTTAAACACTGACATTTTGTTTGTATTAGGGAAATAATTCAATAAGCATATTAATAGCAAATGCAAGAATTTGTATTTCTTACTCTCATTAGATAATAGCAAAAATCTGAACATCTGGTGATTCTAGTTATTGGGTTTTTTCCTTAACTGGTAAAATGGGTTCTGCAATTATTTTGCTTTTATATTTTGTTCCTTTCATCAAAGTGTCATTTTTTCATATCTGACCATTCCAACTAGCAGTTCTTTGAATTTTCACAATGTTGACATAGACTTCCACATTTTTTTAAATTATTGCTGTAGATTTTTTTCTATTTAATTTGTAGATTTCGCTAAGGTGACAGATAAGCATAATACAATAAAACCTATTTATACTCACTATCCAGCATGCCACCATCCATCCATTAACATTGAACATTGTATCAGCATGGTATTGGGTTAATGAATGTAATGGTTTGTTTCATTTTCAGGTATTTGGAGTGGATGACAGCCAGGATTATAATAGGCCTGTTATCAACGAGAACCAGAAAGATTTAGTAAAAGATTGGGCTATAAATTCTGCTACAGTAGTGCTGGAAGAAAAAAGACCACTGAGTACAACTGGATTTCTTGACACAGAGGTAGAATTTAATTTTTGACGGTCTTCTTTTTTCTTCCACTAAAAAAGAGCACTAAGAACTGACCAGTAAGTGTTAAACAGGAAACAAAATCTTGCCTGGAAAAGATTAACTCAGATCTATAAGTATTTCATTTCTTCTAGGCCTTTATTGCATCATCAAAGCTTCTCTGTCAGAGGCAGGTGTAATTCATTGCCGGAGGTGTTTTAAAACTTGGCTACTTTTCTATGTGCACTGACACCAGTGTATTGGAAACGTAGCAGAAGTTTCCTTGCAACAACATAACTTTGCACAGCATATACACTTCATGTAAGTTCTTCAGCAGAACTGAGGAAAAGCTGGTTATGTTTTATAGCCCAAAGCAAGTAATTATATTAAAATTCAGAAAGAAGATGTGCGCACTTAATGCATGATACAAAGATATCTAGGAAAGAAATGGTGGATAATACTTTTCAGATTTTTTTCTCTGAAGCCAGCAAGCTTTAGGTGTTTACATTCTTGGTTTAAGTTCTTCAGTGAGGTACCACTCATGGCAAGTCACTTACATTAGTTGATTCAGACACTGTATAACTTAAATCAGTTGGTAAAATATTAAGCAGAGGAAAATGCCTGTCTTTATATATGACTTACAATATATGCACAGTATATTTATCATATTTCATATTGAAATCTTGGGAGGCATTCTGATAGCATTGTGATGAATAAACTAGCTTGATATGTGTCTGGAACAGAGCAGGATCACAATGGAGCAGAATCAACTGGCAACAGCAATGAAGCACATAACACTTTTGTCTAACTCCCTTGGAAAACTGTTTCTGAAGTATGGGCCTGTAATTTAGCAAACTTTATAAATAAACAATTTTTTGGAAGATATCAAGAACTTAAAGTATTACTTAGTGTGCCTCCCATGCAAATACATTGATTTTAGTATCTACAAATCTGTTTCTCCTGGAGGTGTTTTTTCTCATGGTTGTATTTTAGCTACTGCAAAGCCTTGAGACACGTATGTATCTATAGCCATATTCTTTCTCTCTCTTTTTTTTAATGCCTTGTGCAGCACTCAGCTCTTTTGCGCCTTGTCAGTTTTCAAGAGTATTGATATTTTTTCACTTTTTTAATTCCATAAACAGAAGAAGAATATATTATCTGTTTTATGACCATAATTGGTGTTTTCAGGTGTCAACCTTGCAAATAAAATAATTTGTTTTTAGAAGACTGAGACTACTTCTGCAATCATACAGCAGATTTAAGAGACCTTCTGGCAGTGATATACTAAAACTCACTTTGATTTAGGTGGAAATTACAAGAATTATGCTGCTTTATTACTGTGACTGCTTTGCTGCATTAAAGGGTCTTTATATAGTGGGAGAAATAGGTTATTAGCATAATTTAAAATATTACAAGGCATGATGATAGGGGAAAAATGAAAATTATTTGCTAAGTCAAGGAGCAAAACTGACATAAACAATGTGGTTAGAGGAAGGGTTAGTTTAAGAAGAATTGACAGATGAAGGTGGAAGAAAGCTTACTAGAGAAAGTTAAAAGTGGGTGTTGGTTGATAGATATGTAGAAGTCCAAGAGAAGCTAGTTCAGAAAATTAGAGGCGTCTTTTGTAGGGAAATAATGGGAAAACAATAATGAGGATAACTACTGAGAGAAGATTGTTACATTTAAAGTCTTATTAGCAAAACTTGCACTTGTTTAGTCAGTAGGAAGGGGAGAGGCAAATGTGTTTGATTTGTTAAGAATGTAGGTTATGTTCTCATATACAAACTTTTCTGCTTGTATGTTTTTGAAGACTTACTGTGTTACTGAGCTGCAGATCATAAGTTTGTAAACCTTATTGAAGATCTTGGCTAAATAGTCAGGTAACGTCAAGGTAGCTCAGTGGGTGGAACTTACTCCAGCTGTCCCATTACAGTTATTCCTATACATGATTAGCAGAATGAGGTGAATTCAGAACATGATTGGCATAGAAAAAGCAAATAACAAAATTCTAAGATATTTCTATTCAAGAGGATGGAAAAGATGGCCTTGGAAATTATAAAGATTTTATAGAAACAGTTTTACAGATTCACAGAATAGTTAGGGTTGGAAGACACGTCTGGAGACTATGCAGTCCAACCCCACTGCCAAGGCAGGACAGGGTCATCTAGAGTCACTTCAGGGGTTGAAAGCTTCTTCTGAAATTAAATATCTTAGCTTTACAGGGCTTTTGAAGTATCATTAATAAAATGCTTAGAAATGCTTTTCTTGTTAAAGAAGTTCTCAACTTTTCTTTTGATACATCAGTCTTTAAATACTTCTGTGTAGCATGTGTCATAAATAAAGTAAAATGCAGAGTGAGTGTCTTGGCACAGCTGGACTGAGCCTGAATACACTGGTCCTTGCCTTTTCAGTGATTACATCTAGGCAATGAAAATACTAAAACCATCTATTTAAAATATTTAAATGTTTTTATTTTCCATATTATAAGCTGCCACTTACCAGCCAAGGTAGGTGTGATTAAAGAACAAAAATTAAGTAAATAAAGAACAAAGAGAATAATATTGTTGTTGTTGTTCTTAATATTTGTTCTTACTCTATGAGTTTGGTTAATAAAAATACTGCAGTTGTTTGGGCTGTATCTATCCATCCAACTTCCGTTTAATTTTCAGTGGTCAGTTGTCTGTTCTAAACACAGCTCTTGAATAATGGTTTGTCAACGTTGTGTTTGATGTGCTTCAGTTTTTTGGTTGGTTTGGGGATTTTTTTTTTTTCTTTTTTTTTTTTTTCTTTAGTAAGACTAAAGTTCAGTTAGAAACCTGCTTCTTCATCTCTAGGGTCATCAGTCCATTGACTACAATGTTTCTTTTGCTGGTTTGAATGCCCACTTTATGGCTTTCCCACTGAAGATCAGATAAATAATACTACTGACATTCTGAATATTGAATTTTATTCATGTAAATATTTGCTATATTGCTTCTTAAAAGTGGAGTATTTAGAGGCTATATTTCCTTTTGTTTGTCCTCTCAAATTACTATAATTTTCTGTCCGGTAGAACAATGCATTTAGTTTGAAGTTTGATAGTTACTTTTTGTTTGAACTTAGATGCTGTACTGAAACGTAGGCTGATGTATCACCAATATCAGGGTTGTGAAAAGGCAAATAGGACCCTTGAATAGAACCCAGGAAGTGGGTTCTATTCCAGCAGAAAAGGGCAGTGTTATCACCATGGTGAAGCTTCCCCTGTAATAATAGCACTAAAGAAGAGTGGATACCAGTCTAGAGAAAGTACAAAGTCTACCCAGATTGTTGCAGGACTGGAGATTTACCTGACAAGAACAAATCAGCACTGTTCAATTAGTCTGGCAAAGTAACAGCTGAGATGGAAGCAATTGCTGGGTTTGCATGTGTAAATGGAGTAACTGTAATAGAAGAGAGAAAGAGCTTTTAAAGATAGGTGTCAGTGTTGTTCCAGGAATAACTTGAAGACACTGGCTGTAAAAAAGTAATATATGGAAGTCTGTAAAGAGATCATCACCCCAGAGGCATATGGTTCTGAAGCAGGTACACTGATGAGGGAAGAACTGCTTTCAAGACAGCAATTTATGAAAATATGAAATAATATTATTCTTAAAACTTGAACTGTCTAGAGTTATGTGTCTGAAAAGACATTTAATTTTTGTATTAATTTTATTCACCTTGTTGAAATTTATTAAAAAAAAAAAAAAAGTTAGGCTGCTCTGAAATGCCAAGAGCTGGACATGCTTTCAGGTGTAATGTGTGTGCACTGTGTATCTTTTTCAGATGTGGAGGCTGAAGCCCTAAATCTTCAGGCTGAAAAATAATCCACAGAAATCCATTGTTACATTTTCAAAAGATTTCTTACTCCTATTGACTTTGTATGTAAAATAAGCATAAGAGAAAGCAGATTTAAAATGAAGGTAAAAGGCTGGTCTCTCATAGATAAAGCCACCTTTTCTGAAATATTAGGAAATTGTTTTTGTTATTCAAGAGAAGATTTGGAGGATTGCATACTTCAGAGCCTGTAAGATACAAATTGATATGGAATATAGGAGGAACATTAGGCTATCTGAACATGACTTTTTAGGTATATGTTTTATAAACCTTACACCTTCTGGATGTGCTTAAACTACTATGAAAAGATACAGCCTATTTTTGTATACACATAGAATTGGCAAAGCACATATTTACATTCACTACTATGTAGAAACCATTTTTTGGCAGTGTAATTACAAGAGAGAAATAATTTAGCATATTGTTTTACTGCAGTTAATCTGCAAAATCTTAGTAAGTTTCTCCATTGTGAAGTAGAATTCAGATTTCTGACACATATCTATATCTTGAAATTGGTTAGGTGGTACAGAAGGAAATAGTTGAAATTTTCTATTGCAAATATGATAGGCAAATCTATAGTTTTTGGATTTGGCTATAATTAGTTGTTTCATTAGATAGAAGTTCACTAGTACAGACAGGAAAAGAGACATTAGTGATTGGAAAGAAAAATGGGGTTTCAGTAGTTGTCAGTGCATAAATGCTGTGTGTTTTTTGTAATATTTTTACTGGTATTCTCTCGCATTGTCTTCAGAAATGCTCATAAATAGCAAAAACATTGAATTGCCTTCCTTTGCTGTTGTTAGACTTGTATTTTATAACATTTTGATTCTAAAAAACTAATTCAAAATATGGTAATTTGTATAATAGTTAAAAAATTATGTTCTACATCTCTGATTTACTACATTCTTGATATTCTGGAAGAGATTAATGATGTTGCACTCACTTGCATTAATCAGGAGAAGTTCAGGATCATAAAATCAAGCTTCTCAAGTATCTGAGTAACTTTTAATTTGAAAGAAGTTGTCATATAATAGGTGACATTGTTCATCATTCTAGTTCTTCTAAGTAATTTTTATAGAATGTATAGTGTTGTTTCGTGGTCAAAGACTGGAATCTAAGAGTAGTCAAGGCATCAGGCAGAAATCAGAGTTTTGAATAGAAGTGTGAAGATTTGAAGGGTTGGTGATGTTTTTTGGAGATGCAAGCAAGAGAGGCTGTAAGATATTTGACAAGACAGTAACATTGCACTATAATTAGAAATCAGGTTTTGAAAAAAGGATGCTTTAGTAACACAAGAAGATGATTTAATTCTATGCTTTTCTTACATTTAAAAAATTTTCAAGATTTCAAAAGGCATGCCACCAAGAAACCAAATTCATTTACTTTCTGGTTTAGGTGCAAAAAAAATGTAAAATATTGATGACACTACCTTCACTGTTACACAGTAGGATGGTTTAAAACTAATCTTTGCTTCTTTTTTTGTTTAGGCCAAACAAATAATCTGAGCTTCCTTTCATTTCCATCATAAGTTATTACTCTTTCAATCCTTAAGGTAATCTTTCTGTAATGAAGTAAATACAATATTTCATCTGGACCAAGAGGGTCTTCTAAACCGGTAAAATGTCACTTTCTTGTCTTCCTGAAGCGCATATTTAATATTTTAACACACCCCCACACCCCATGTACTTTTCCTGCACTTCTGAGCTGAGGACTGAAATAAGCTGATCTTAGAATAAGTACATGTTCTGATACATTTTATATAGGTTCTGATGTTTAAAAGTCCACTGCGCTAGGAACTGTTGTTTATTTGGTGCTGATTCAGCAGCTATATAAATTTTGTTTGTTGTTTGCCATTCTAGAACTGAAGACTCTATTTATTAAGGTAAACTATTTTTTCAACTTCCTCCAGGAAAATAGTTTCTGACCTATCTATTCAGAAAAAGCCTGGAAAGATGGCATGCTTATTATCAAACAGTTACAATTTTTCTTCTGCTGTTTTTTTCTTTCTTAGGAAGGTTCTACTAACCCTGGAAGTAAACGTTGGGTATCACAGTGGGCCAGTTTGGCTGCTAATCACACACGTCATGACCAAGATGACTTGAGATTGGAGTCCTCTGTGCCTGCTCCAGTAGAAAATGGTATTAAAAACTGTTCTTATTGTCATCATTTATGCTGAAAAACCTGTGAAAGGAAGAAAAGAATGATTATGTACTGTACTTAATCAGCTTTTTTACTCCTAATGCCCCAATTTCATGTAAGATTCTTCTGTTTCATTGAGCAGAAACAGTATGAAAACAGGCTCAGCATTAGTGGTATCTTCATGGCAGTTGAGTGCCAGTATTGCACTGAATGTTACTAAAACAGGAGCGTTTATAAACTGTTTAATATTAGAGAAACTTTCACTTAAATACAGTTTGGGTTGATCTGCATAGTATATTTCTTTTCTTACATTTTTCTTAGTGTAAATTGGACTTCAGTGATTATTAAACAATCCAAATGATTATTAAACAATCTAAGTGATTATTAAACAATCCAACCTGAGAGACTTCAGCTGAAGCATAGCATCCTTCCTTATCTTGGAAATACAGAAGACCTTTGATATTTCTTGAGAAACGCAGAAACTTTCTCTTTAGCAATGAACAACTTTATCTCCCTTTCTTGTGAGTGCCAGATGTTCAGGGCATGTCTCTCCATGATTTAACTAGTCACATTTCTGATTTTGAAATGGTTTATTCTTTAATATCTACAGTCTTGACTATAAACAAGTTACTTGTCTTACTTCTATTCTGCATTTTTCTTCCTCCAAATTTCATGTTAGAGGTTGTGATCATCTTTGGGAGAAGTTGTACAAAGAAGTTTTGCTTTTGATGTTGCATAATGCATATATCTGTACCAATGCATGAAAAAATTCTTATCAGTAGCCACTGCTTCTGTTGTAGCTTTTTCTCCCCTCATAAGCATTGAACTTTGCCTAGGATACTAAAAGTCAAAGGAGATGGAAATGGGAAAAATTAAATTATCTCATACACACAGACTAATGGAAATCAAGAGCAAATTTTGCACTATTTGAAAGGATTGTGTACATTCAGGACACTTAAAATCATTGCTATTGAGACTGATCCTTTCGATGGTTAATTAGGAGCTTTGGTGGTCTTTTGTTTTCTGTAGTTCTTTAAATGGTCACTGTCAGATGAGGCACTATCTTCTCTGGAGAGATAGACTTTTTTTACCATTATGAGAACAAAGATAAGAGATACAGTGAAGTAACTACTGTGTAGTGCATATCTGTACTGCAAGAATTCTACAATACTAAAGGGGAAATAAAGCATTCAAAGCATCAAAGCACTAAAGCAACAAAGGTGTAATAAAAATAAAATTTAGTACGTACATCTAAAAACCAGTTCAGAAAACATGTCTTCTTGACTTAGATGCCTTTATCTTCTTTAGAAATCTTAGTATTTAAACTTCACATAATGCATATTTAGCCAAATATGATGCTAAACAACTCCATGCCTTTTATTTTACTAAAGGCTGTTTGAAATTCACCAAGAAGCAAGTCACATGCTTATATATGTATAAAATATTTTATCTAGTAGGCATATCTGAGAAAGGTCAATTTTCACAGATGGCAATCATATTGATTTTTATTAAACCTTCAATTTGTTTCATAATTTTCAAGAAAAAAATAGACCTGGAATTAGAAAACCTTGCTTAGATTTCAGACGTATTTCCTGTTTCTCAAATCAGTGTCTTAACATAGATTATAGGAAAAAAAGGCTGTGAGTCCTTTGGCATTCTTCATCAAAGGTTTGACACTGCAAAGAGAGAAGATAGATTGAAGAGCATGGATAGAAAGTAGCAGGTATACATACAGCATGATTGTTGATATTCAATTAATTGCTTAGAGGATTCTTTCAGAGAGAGAAACCCTGTACTCCAGTTCTTACTCCTGGAGCAACCAATGTTGGTGGCAAGCTGTGATAGGAAAGACCCAACAGGCTATACAGAACAGTTTCTTATAGATATCTCCTGGCAAGAAAGGGAATTGACAGATGTGTGTCACTAAATGTGTCACATTACATTGCGACAGCAGACAAATGAACAGCAAAAATAATTTTTTCTCTCCAAATATTCATAGAGTGGAAAAATAAATTTTGGTTTCTAAAACAGTTATTCCTTTCAACAGTCCATGGCATGCCCATGTTTTTCTGCCGATGGAACATTCATTCTTTGTACACTGAGAATTCAGTGAAAGTGCTTTGGCAGTCATACTGCACTCTTTTGATGCTTTGTATACGTTTTCCATACACTTTTATACTGCAGTGTCTTGTTTGGGATAAAAGCATTATTTTTGCTTTCTCAGCCATAGTAATTTTTTGTTCATCAGTGGGAATCTTCAATATTGCTGAGAAGTGTGTCCCAGCACTGCAGATTCTTGCCTGAGTGAGATGAGGCCTCACAGGGGAAGGTTGTAGTCTGTCCATGAGACAGACCTTGAGAGCTGTGGAATAGGCAGGTAGGGAGGAAGAAGGAGGATCTTTTCTTAGTAGTTTTGAAAGCTGGTCCTAAAGATGTTTAGAAATGTAAGACTTGCTTTCCACTTCCTGTTGTAATGGTGTACTGATTGAAATAACAGCGATTTCTTACCTATTTTAACCTAGTGTGAGATCATAAAAACTTTGTATGATTCAGCTGTGTCATGGTTTGACACTGGCACAATGCCAGCGCCCCATGAAAATACAACCTATCAATCAAATGCTGTGAAATGCGATCAGGAACGGAGCAAAGCAGGCCAAACTTAATAACAAAGGAAAACCTTTATTACACTACTACTACTACAATAAAAAGAAAAGAAAGGAAAGAAAAAAAAACACACAAAATTCAAAATGAAAACCTTCCAAAACATTCCTCCCCCCACCACCCAACTCCACCAAACCACAGTGAGACCCATTTGGATCCTTAATCAAGTTTTCACCCTTCAAGATAATCAATACTGAATCTATCGGGGAAGAGAGGAGTCCCACTTGCACCACAGACCCCCAGGAAACACAGCTGCCACCTCTTGTGTTTCCATGTCACACGTGGCACTGCCCAGACACACCGGCCAGTGTGACGCTCTCCTCTCCATGTCACAGTGCTCTCACCACCGTGCATGGACAGAGACTGCTTATAGGGCCCCTTTAAGGATGCTTTGCCAAGGACCACCAGGAACAACAGTCCAGTATCGCATTTCGGGACTAGAGTCCCCCCCATTTTCCCCTGGGGCCGGGGGTCCAAGGACAGAGATCTCCTTCTCTTCTTCTCTGAAGACGGAGGGCATCCTCACACCCTCCTCAGCTCTCTCTGTCCATTTCTGAACTGGCAGTTGCTGAAGGAGGTCTCTTGGCTCACCAGTGCATCCCCCTAAAATGCAGTCCCTCTTAAAAGAAGGAGTGGTTCAGTCTATGGTAAACAAGCAGAGTCCAGCCGAAAGCCACTCCATCATCTCCCCCCAACCTTCTTTGAGCATCTGAGGTCCCAGGCTGTCTCTCTTTCCTTCAAATTGAGGAGGAGTAATATTTCATAAAGCCTTCATTTCACAGGAAAGGGTTAAAATTCCTGGACTCCCTGGACGGCTGAAATCTGGCCCAGGACTCCGTCTCTCATCTCCCATGCTGGGCATCTTTTCTCCCCCTTCTCCTTCTCCTCTGCCGGCAAACTTCCAGATGTCTGCTGGCTCTCTATCTCTTTTCCCTCTAGCTTGGGGGGGGGGGGGGGGGGGGGGGTGGAACAAAGACATCCCAGATGTTCTCCACCCTTCCGTCCGCAGGAGCTGGCCCAGCTTGGTTCCGATCCTTCACCCCCTGGCCTACCTCTGCAGGACGCATGGCTCCCCTCCCCCACCCAGCCCAGGCTGGGGGGGCCGGAACCAAAGAAGAGCGAGTTCTCCTGGGAATTCCGCCTTTAACCCCTCTGTGTTCTCAAAGGCGTGTCCACCTTCAATTGGTCACCCCAAGTGTCAGTATCCAAACCTGACCCCTGACTGGATCGACCTCTTCCTTCCGAAAAAATTCTTTTCCCATGTCAAACCACAACAAGCTGGCTACAAGAGTTCGTTAAATGTTTTTCTACATGTCTAAATAAAATTAATTGATCTTGCAGAAGGATGGACTGATGACTTTTTCAGTTCTGATTTATGTTGTATTAGCCTTATACAGTCTTAAACATTTAATCTTTCTATTTGCCTTGATGTTGAATGTATTCTCAAATATTTTTTCTCTTTCATTCTTAGATACAGACATCAGTGAGTCTGGTATTTCTGTTAGAAGTGCTGGTTCAGCTGCTTCCATGACCAGTCAAGGTGAGCGAAAGAGGAGGACACTTCCACAGCTTCCCATAGAGGAAAAAGTAAATGAAAATTTAAAACCAAAAACTGTATCTCATCAGAGGTCAGAAATAGGCGAAAAGCAAGACACTGAACTTCAGGAGAAAGAAACTCCAGCTCGTGCCGCAGATGCTAAGTCAGCCAGAACAATGAATGGTCTTTCACCCAAAGCTACTGGAGACAAAGTGTTTTCTTTTCCCAGCTCTTGTAGTAAAGAGAGAGTTGAAACTGGCAGAGAAACTTCTGTGGTGAAACAAGCTTTAGCAAAAATTCAACAACAAGAAAGAAAGGAGCAAGGGCACTGGACACCCTCAAAATTATCCTCTACAAAATCTGCTGCAAACCAGATTGAGAAAGGTAGGGAGGAGATTGTTATGTCACCCAAAACTTTGGATAATCAAGAAAATGCTCCTGGACATGTTACAGATAAAGCAGAAGTTAAGTTGGCACAGATTGAGGGAAAAAGAAGAAAAAATGAGGAAATCATTAGAGGACAAAGTCCTAAAGTACTTGGAGGAGACAAAAAGGAATCTTCAAAACCCTTAGTGAGGCAAGGTAGCTTTACTATAGATAAGCCTAGCACAAATATACCTATAGAACTTATTCCTCACATTAATAAGCAGAGTGGTTCAGCTGCCCCTTTAGTATCTGCAAACAGGTTACGTGACAGAAGTGATTCGATGGACACTGATTCCAGTATAGATACAACACTCATTTTAAAAGACACAGAAGCTGTAATGGCTTTTCTTGAAGCTAAATTACGTGAAGAAAACAAAACTGATGAAGGTCCTGACACTCCTAGTTATAACAGAGATAATTCCATATCACCAGAATCAGATGTTGATACAGCCAGCACAATCAGTCTTGTTACTGGTGACACTGAAAGAAAATCCACACAGAAGCGGAAGAGCTTTACAAACTTATATAAAGATAGATGTTCCACTGGTTCCCCTTCAAAGGATGTTTTAAAATCTTCTACAGGAGCTAGAGAAAAGATTGAAAAGAAAACTAAGAGTCGATCTTCAGATGGTGGGTCTAGAGCTGAGGCTCGCAAAACTGTGCAATCCAGTGGAAGAATGAGGCAACCATCAGTAGATTTAACAGATGATGACCAAACATCCAGTGTACCTCATTCTGCCATTTCTGATATCCTATCATCTGACCAGGAAACCTACTCTGGCAAATCACATGGAAGAGTTCCTTTTGCCTCAGCAGATGAACTTGTGCATTCCAAGATGGAAGGAAAGTCAGCTAAATCAAAAACCTCTCCTGTTGGACTTGGGCAGTCTAGTAAATCTACCACTCTTCCAAGACCTCGTCCCACAAGGACTTCTCTCTTGCGCAGAGCACGCCTTGGTGAAGTCTCAGATAGTGAGCTTGCTGATGCTGATAAGGCTTCAGTCGCTTCCGAAGTGTCCACTACAAGTTCTACATCAAAACCTCCATCAGGGAGGAGAAATATTTCCAGAATAGACTTACTCGCTCAACCTCGCAGAAATCGGCTTGGCTCTTTATCAGCACGTAGCGATTCCGAAGCAACAATAACCAGGAGCACTGCCTCATCGCGTACCCCAGAAGCGATCATCAGAAGTGGTTCAAGGCTGCTCTCAGGAGGAGATAGCGCTAAGGTTTCTGCTAGAACTCGAGCCAATAGCATTTCTCGACTTTCGGATTCAAAATCCAAATCCTTGGCTTCGGCTCATAATTCTCCCTCAGGTATGTGAGATTATTTTAAGTGATTTTGTACAATACATGGAATTTTTTTAAGAAACTGTTTAAGAAAAAGCTCTTATGAAACTGTTGAGTTTTAATTGATGCAGTCTTTTTCTTTGGAGTAAGAGGCTTCCATGGCAGGTCTTGTGGAGGTATCTCATTTAAAATTATAAAGCCAAGAAATTGTAATCCTTTAACTCTTTGGATATGTTTTTATCTTGAAGCCACTAAGACAGAACTGAACTGGGACAGTCAAATGCATCAACTATCATTTGTTTTAGTGCAAAAACAAACCCAAGATCACTTCACTCAAATCAGGGTAGTCGAAGTTCAGAAGGTCAGCAACACTATTTAGTATATAGAAGAAATAATATTTATTTAAAAGGTAGGCTTAAAATAAGCATTCAGAATTTTTTTTTACAAGAATAATAATGTTGAAGTAATGAATTGAAAAACTATGTACTACCTAACTAAATATCATAAAGAAATTTCTTTTAAAGGGTTTGCCTTATCTTGGATTATTTCCCATTTTGTGTTTGAAATCGTGGCGATTTATGATTTCATCATGATTTCCATATCATGTTGATCTTCCCTGGTATAGTGGTTACTCTACCTTGTCTTACATTTGGAAGGAAAAACCTGTTCAATCTACAAATTTTAGCCTACTATTCTGTTAGAAGTTAACATAGCATTTTTAGTGCAAGCAGTGTGAAAGCTGGTAGGTTCTTTTCAACAGCAATATTAAATCTATCAAAATAAAATGTGGTAATTATAAAAAGTGAACTTTCTTGTGAAATAAGTGTCTAAAATAAATGTCTGCTTGCTTTTAGAATTGTCATGCTACCAGCTTTACCATATTTGCAGTCAATCCACAGTATCAGAATAAAATTAATAGAGTAGCTCCCAGTGTTGTAGTGCACTGAAATTTTTCTACATCCCATTCAGACTTGATATAAATCACTATGATACCTAATTGCCCACACTTCTGCTGTTCTTCTGTTGCTTGTATATCATAAGTGGACCATGTCAGGATTCTTAGCATTGTGTATTCCCCAGGTAGTTAGTTTTGCTGTGTTATTTATTGGCTTAATAGAAATTTCTGCTGAGATGCATTGCTGAATGGTAGAGTTGACTCTGATTCGATGACAGGTGTCTACACAGGTAGCCAAAACAGATTACACTTCAAATAAAAATTCAGTCTTTCCTTGTAAGATATAATTGGAAAAGCAGCATGTTTCCAGTTTTAATCAAAATTTTGAATTGATGATGCAGCTTGAAAGATGGCAATGCTAGGGTAAGAAAGTGTCAGTTAAGACTTCTATATGTTTATTTTAATAGTGTATACAAGTTCACATTATGATAGTGGTGATTTTTGAAAAGGTAAAGCCCAGATATATTTTGTCACTTTACTGTTTTTTGTTTTTCACAAAACTCTGTATGAACTTTGAGTTTTGTGTCCATGTGAAGAATTGCAGGCTTCCTAAACTTTTTCCAGGTTGCTGCATTGAAGTGGTTTGCTGCTTCTGTTAAGGGAAGTGAGTGTATCTTTCTCTTCTCACTCTATTAGTCTGTCACTTCATTGTCTTTGCTAAATATTCCTTTTCCCATGTCCCACAGTCAAAGTTTACTGTAGCTTGTATAAAACACTGTTTTCAAGAGAGAAAAGATGCCATCTTCTCATGGATACCCCAACAAAATTATCTAGGTAATTTTAAAAGACCACTGTTGAAAAAATCTACAGTATTAATAGCTTCTGTCTTATAAAACTGTATCAGTTAATATATGTCAGTGGAGAAGCCTATCAATGGAAAGGCCAGAATCTGAAAGCAATTAATGAAGCAGTCAGATAATTTCAAAACAAAATCATTGCTAAATAAACCGATTAGGTCTTGTTACTGTATAAGTAAAAAATATTATTACTGCTGTTTAGGATATAGAGTTCTGAATTTTGTCTGTATCAGTAACATTATTATTGTTACTGATATTATTGTATTATATATATTGTATTATTATTGTATAATTTTTTTACTTATTTAGTTAGATTATACTTTAGGAAAATCTGAATTGTTTTGAAAGTGGTATAATCTTCTAATGTATATAGGAGTATATGTATAAATGCATCTCCGACTACATATAGACCACTTTAAATTCCTCAATTTAATTTTGTTTCTAGAAAAGTCAACAATTAATTTGGGTGCTTTTGGAAAGTACTAATGAAGTGCTTGACTAAAGCACATCAGCTGTTTGAATATGTCTTACTTCAGGCACATTTAATCAAGTCATAACAGGAATGGATTTTCTTCTCTCCATGGATGTAGAAAGACTGGAAAACGAATTATTATTACTAGTATTGGGTTTGGGGTTTTGTTTCCTTTACCAGTGGACTAGCTGCTCTCAAAATGTAAAATATGTTCCATGGGTTATCTCATCAGAGGTAAATACTACCACTTTATAGATAGTAAACATCGTCAGCCTCTTCAATCCAGCCTGCAAAGAGAAAGTTACTTCTGCACTTCCCAAATCAATGTTCAGACATATATACCTGTAAAAACTGAGCAAGGATAAGATGTAGTTTCTCGATTTTTTTATTGTCTTGTACTTCATGTGGATGAATTGCAACATGATAGGGTTAAAATTGTCAGAGCTAGCAGCAAGTCTGCAATTTCAAGAATCATTTCTAATCTTTGATGCAGTGAAGTATTGCTTACTTTTATACGAAAGGGCAGGCAGATAAATGGAACATCTTGGGTGAGAACTGTTAGCATTCAAGTTATTACCAGAGTTTTTCTGTGCTAGGAGGCTTGATAACTGAGAACACTGTGTAGACACGTGAAGCAGAATTAGTAACTTTATAGCACGAGCAGTGAAAGGTCTGATCAAGACACTGCATCATCAAACAGTAGAGTGTGATGAATAAAAACAGAGGAGACCAAAGACCTACTTTCACAACAACGGAGAGAAATTGAAGATGATGTTACAGAAGGAGTTGTGTATCAGGAATACAAAGAGCAGGATCAGACCTTGTGCAGAGCAGCTAAGCTGCAACTGTAACATTAGGCATTGAGTCAGAACAGAGAAACTTTCAGCAGCCATCTGTGTTTGGCGGCTCTGCTGGCTTGCTGACCTAGCTGTCATTGCAAATAGCTGGCAGATAGGTTGATCAAAGTGTTGAGGTAACTGCGGGGGAAAGGAAATTGATAATGGAGAAAAAACAGCCCTTTCTAAGTACATTTTAGTAGTACGAGCTTGGAAGTGGATGCACCTTGAGAAGTCCCTCAATGAGAGTAGAGTATATTCTAAGTAGTATAAGGAATGTATTCAATAAAATTTATTTGAAGTGAGAGTATGTTGTCCAAATCACCAAACTTGCCAGCTTAATGGTTGTCAGGACATTATACTTCTCACAGAGTAGTCGCTAAATTATGTTTGAGTGCTGATCATTTTAGCCAGGGTTTTGGAAGATTTTCTAGTTAGTGGTACTGATATTCACAGTCTTTGGTGTCTGAGATAAGCAAATGCACAACAGCTTTCAGAAATGTACATAAACTACAGGGACATTTTGGGCCTGCATAATTTAAAGATGGTATTAAAAGCATATAAATGCAAATATATAGCTACCTAACTGGGAAACATGCTTGGATATGCTTGTCATGAATTTCACTTTGAGATTTTTACTGCTAGGCTTACAATAACTTTGTCCTCATATTAAAGAGAAACACACTGATCATATGTAACACCCCAACATTTCAAGGCCTTAAAATTTAATGGTCTTTAAAATAGGAGTTTTATGATAACTATGTAATGCTACAAATGATTGTTATTTATTTCATTTCAGTTAGTATCTCTGAAATGTTCAAGCCTTTACAAAATTCAATATTTTGGATTGAAAGTATAATCTTTTCCTAAAAAAGTGTGGGTGGAAAAGAGGAGCTAAGACTAATTTCATAAATATATTTTATTTAAGCAAATGCTTCTAATCTGAATGTTTTAAATCGAATTAACATGATAAAACACTATTTTGTACACAGAGAAATCCAAGCTTCTCCCAGACCCAGACCCTGATGTTGAAACTTACAGTGGTAGAGTACTAGAAATCAAATCTGTTTCTGATATTTCACTTCTCATTCAATTTTTAGTTTTTAAATATATTATTACATATGCTCATTGTACAGTGCTGAGTTGCTGAACTATCTCACATGAGAAATTTTAAGATAAATTTTATAATTATTTTAAAGACTATAACTTGAACTCGGACAAAGAATTTAAACAAAAATGGATGAAAAAATGTGGGCCCAACTCATAAATCTCTTTTGACTTTGGTCACACATTGCTTGCATGCTGTTGGTGGGAAAATGTACTTTTTCTGCTCATGTTTTACTTCCCTAAGATTAAACAACTTTAAAGCCTCCAAAAAGAGATCCGAAAGTAATTGGGGAAACATTGTTACTTTCTACAATTAAGTTAGCAAACTTTTTTAAAAGTAGAACTAGACATAGTTTGATACCCACATTTAAACTTGAAAAAAATATGCAAGCTTTTTTTTTTTTTCAGTAGTTGAAACTTCATTATTTGTATGAGGGAAGGGATGTAAGCTTATACACCAATGTCATATTCTCTATACCATAATCTTTGCATTACACAAAAATTACTTCCATTATTTGTTACTTAAATTCATACTGGTGTATACTTCATTTGTAATGTTTATTTTTTAATGTATCAGGAGAAATCATTATTAATTCTTGCCTTTTTTAATATTAAAAAACAATTTACATAATTTGGTTCTATTATTTTTCAATTGCCAGTAGGTTGTCACACAGTTATTTCATTTTCTGCAGTACTTACAGAGCCTTATGAATGTCAATTCATTTGGGGTATTAAATCCCCTGCAACAATTTAGCACGTTGTGGTGATAGGGATTTCTTTACACTTGGTGGTATCTCTTCCTGATGGAAATGCGTGACGACAGCACATCTGCAATCCATTTTCTAGACTTCAGTAATTCATAAGGGGACAAGAGCCTCCTACTTAGTTCCAGCTCTCCTGTAGTTCAGGCTGTCCTCAGCAACATGGCTGTATAATGCTTTATGTGCTGCATATCAAAATATATACTTCTTTCTCTGAGGCTGCTTTTCTTATGGATGTACTTCAGATTTTCATAACACAATATTAATTTTACATATTCTTTTTTATAAGAAAAAGAAACACATAAGCATAGAATCATTAAGATTGGAAAAGACCTACACATCATCTCGGAATTTTGTGCTTTCCTTATGTAAGCGTGCATTCCAGGCTTGGTGCCAGCTCCATCCCTCCTTCATATCTCTTCATTTTCTTTTTTGTGTATCACATAAACCTTGAATGAAATTCGGGAAAAAAATCTGCAGAAAAAGTGCAATCTGACTATATACTTAAATGTTAATGAATTGGGCCCTTGTTTTGTAATACAGTTCGTTTGAGCTCATATACAATCACTGGCTTTTACATCTTACTTTACCCATCACTATACAAAGAGCATTAGTTTTATGTTTCTATTAATCAATATTTTTTATTTAACACAAATTTTGTAGCTTTCTTTTAAAGATGTAGTAGATAAACCTTTTGTGAGGTACCTGGGGATGGATGATAAATAGCTGTGTATTTTTGTGATGTTACTGAAATAATGCTTTTTTTTCTTATGAAAGATGCCATAATAATTCTTTTTTAATAATTAAACTAATTTAGTAAGTGCAAGATGGAGGCGCTTTCCTACAGATTATGCTTCCACCTCAGAAGATGAATTCGGATCAAACCGTAATTCCCCTAAACATACCCGTCTGCGTACCTCTCCAGCCCTGAAAACCACGCGACTGCAGAGCGCTGGGACAGCAGCTCAAAGCAGCAACACATTCAAGCACAGGATAAAGGAGCAGGAAGACTACATTCGTGACTGGACTGCCCACAGGGAAGAGATAGCAAGGTAGGTTTGAAAGGAGTGCTCCTAAAATAACAGAGTTGGTACCCAATCACTTGTACAGGTGCACATAGAGGACAAAGAGAGCTCATGGATTTTCTGTATCACTGCTTACTGCTTTCCTTCACTAACTGAATGGGCTACTTAAAATTCTTCTTATGAGAGACTGGCAGACACAACACTCATACCACCAGCACACCTCTTTTTAGTGAAAAATGATAGTATCTTCTGATTCATGATAGCCAAATCTCAGAAGATGAACTTTCAGTTGCGTTACTGGGACTTGCAGAGGTACTTTGTGTATTTCCTGAGGCTGAAGTGTATGCGATTTTTAGTAACTTTACATATTGAGATAAAATTTCAGATCAATCACAGGTGATTCCACTACTGTGGAAGTGTTTTGCTTAGTGTAATTAATTATTGTTTGTTTCCTGATTTGGGTAATATTTTTCAGCATTTGTTTTTCTATTGTGATCTGTGCAAAGGGAAGATGTAGAGGCCTGAGAGGCACACAGAAGATACCTGAGGGAGTCTCACAGTATCTGGACAAATAATGAAATAAACATTTTCAAAATAATCTTCCTAGAACATCTCTTTCTTTTCAGAAGTCTAAAGTTAGAGATGGTTATAGGAAGGACTGTGTGTATATGGGAAAAATTATTGATAGCCTTAGCATATCAGTTCCTCCTGATAAATAGTACTGCTGAACCTCTACTTCAGTGAAACTTTTTTATATGTTTTGCCCATCTAAGAGAGATTGACTCTGGACATAATTCATGATTCAGTCTAAACTCGTTTGATGGTTAGGTTTGCAGGTTTTTCTCTTCCCTTGGGATTCTTACCCTTTCCTACATTGATGTATTGGCTTTAAAATTTTTTTAAAGGCTGTGTACTTATCCTACCTCTTCAGCTTTATTTTTAGTTGAAGTGCTAAGACACTCAAATCAGTACTGCCAAATTTTTAGGTTTATGCAGAGATTTTACACAACCTGCATTAAATGAGCTTATTTAAAGTAAAGAGGAGTAGCATTTAGCATCTGAGAAATTCCAGGTTACTGTCATCTGTTGTCACTGCTTCCAATATCTGTTTTAGCCTCAGCTGAGAACACGTGCTGGAGGTCAGTAGTTCATCCCTTCTGTTTCTCCATATCTTTGTTGTGATTCACATTTTTGCTCCCTTGGCTTTAATTTAACTTCTGTCCTTCTGTAAGATACTTTTTGTCTCTGCTCCTATTTCCTTACTAACCACAGGCTCTATTATTGCCTACCCTGTTTTTTTTTTTCCCATCCTAGCCTTCAGTCCAGCCTCTATGTTCAGGATTCTGTTTACTCTATTTAGAGTTTTTAAAAAAAATTAATAGATGGTTATATGCTGTCATTAAAATTAGTTATTTATTTTTATTGTTGTTGAATAACTGATTAGATTGTAAGGATAAGCCTTTCATAAAATCCATGTGTAGCAGAAAGTAGTGTAGAAACTGTATAGCAAACATTTCAGGCATCTGTGTTACCATCATACTGTGTTTTAATGATTCTATGACTTATCCAGATTGCACTTTTTACAGACTTAATGATTTACAGATGTTAATAAAATTGAAAATTTGAAAGAGGTGTTTAGAGAAACTTCCTGGAATAACTAAACTTGATTTAAAGCCACTTGACATGGAGGGAATTTGCACCCTCTGAGTAATGGGAGTTTCATGAATATTTTATTTAAGGATGTTAAAGTATTTTTACAAAATCCACTGAGTCACTATAGGAAGTGTAATATAATAGACTAAGAAAAGAAGGTTTCTAGTCTTCTTTTTCACAGTGCTTCTCATTTAGTGCTCTGTATTGTTTCTATACAGGAATGTATTTGAGGCTTGAACTATAGCGTATTGTCACATAGAACATTATTCCAGATTTTTTTTTACATTTACTGATATTTGATGATGGTAATTACCTACCAAGTTGCTTGCCATTGATGTTAGAGTTGTTTGTTCTGATAGTTGTGGAATTCATTTGAATTAATCTTTATATAGAGATCTGACACTTCATGCAATTTTGATTTCTTGCTAAGAACTCAAATGAAGTGGTTGTGTCATGTTGAAGCATTGCTGATTTCTGCGAAGTGTTAAGTCTTCATTAATTGATGCTACTTTTGATTATGGTGTTTAATGACATTTCTCTTCTGAAAAATTTGCTGATAATTGAAGTCTCCTGGTTTTATTTTCTTCACAACTACTCATTAAATACAAGAATTGTCCCAGAAAATCAAATGTGAATAGTAGCAACTTCTCTATTTAAGGAAGAAGTTAGATGATTGTATGACACAAAGGAAGTAGCTGTTTTAGTGTAGCTACTACGAAGAATATTGGACTTTTAAAGGCATGTGTAAATTGCCACATATTTGTTTACAGCCTTCTTCCAATTATATGTATCTAAGCTGCACAAAGTTGCACTTCATTGCAGATTGCTGATGATTCACCACAAAATCTAGTGTTGGAATTTGGCTGGAAATCTCTCTAGTTATATTTGCCTTTGTAGTTGAAATTCTATTCACTTAGTCTTAAGCTATCTCTAGGCCAGTGGTGTCCATTGTTTTTGACTTGAAGGCAAAGTGAAAATTAAGAGCAAAAGGAAGCTCACCTTGAACAATCAATCTCTGTGGAGCCCAGGGTGTGTCACTGTAACGTGGCTGTGCACCTCCTTCCATTTGAGTGGTGTCACTGAGTCCTCGGTGGCACAGAAGTGGCACTGTCGGTTTCGGTGCCTTCAGTGCTGTCAGGAAGAAGTGTGAAAGGGGATCACTTGGCAGTCTGCTTTTCTCAAATCTCTAATCCAAGCTGGCAATTCAGGGTGCCACAGTTAGTAAGGCTTTTACTTTTTGGGTATTTTTTGGATTGTTCCCTCCTTCTTTGGGGTGTCCTGGGGAGGAGTAGCACAAGCAGAACAAGCAAAGCAGTTTTTTTTGATGCACTGAATCAGAAGCAAAGTAAAGGATTCTTTGGCTGGGAATTCAGCTATATTTTAGTAATGCTATCATATCCAGGTTTTTAAAGGTATGTTGTATTTTTGTCACTGAAAAATTTGTGTTGATTACATTTGGGGATTTGGGGTATTGGTCTGGAATTTCAGACCCATGAGCAGCTTGATCTGAGCAAGGTGCACACCTGCTAGAAAATCAGAAGTCCTGAAAACATTTTTTTCAAGTAGGCAAACTAAGGTACAAATTCAATGATTTCTGAACCTTTCAGATTTACTTTCATGTTACACAGCTCATCTGTGCAGTATTTTCAGCATATTTCCTATGCACCCTCTGTGTTGGATATACTGTGCATAGCACACATCTGTCTGAATCCTAAGAAGAAATAAGGATACTCTGTCTTTTGAGATCACCTTTCACCTTCTTCCTCTAGAAAAGCATGCTACTAAAAGCTTCAGTCAGAATTTGCTTTTATGGTTCTACAAATAATCTTTCTGTTTAAAAAGGAATGCAGGTTTTCATAGCATGGTTATCAGGAACTAGAATTTACAACCTCAAAGGCTGCAGATTGGGCTCTACTGACCCAAAAGTATTTGTAGGGGAGAATGTAATACTCTCTTTATTACTAGGATCAGTCAAGATCTGGCTCTCATCGCACGGGAAATCAACGATGTAGCAGGAGAGATAGATTCAGTGACTTCATCAGGCACTGCCCCCAGTACCACAGTAAGCACTGCTGCCACCACCCCTGGCTCTGCCATAGACACTAGAGAAGAGGTAGGAGATCTTCATGGAGAAATACATAAGGTTCTTCCTTTTCTTTATTTCTTTTGCTTTTAGCATTTTGCATAGCCTTTTTAGTTACTTCCACCCAACCCATGTGCGTGATCTTAACATCGTATTTTTTATTTGAAATTCCTTTACATTTCAACAAACTACCCAGAAGTTATTTTGTGAACACAGCTTGTCAAAAGTATACATACTGTCTGTCTCTTTTTTCCCACGAAACATAGATAAGATAGTTATTTGTTATTTGCTTGTCTGTAGCCTTGGATACTGTTGGATGGTATCTAAGTGCATATAAAGATACTAGTGTGTATGCACAACTATATATACATGTGTATATTTAATTCTTTGCTTAGCTATTAAAAACAAAAAAGTCCCTCTTTTCACAGGTGACATAAAACTTTCATCTTCTGAACACTGAAATACTAGGTACCATCAGTTAACTTTAGGTTTTCTTTCATAATAACATTGTCAAAAACTGCCTTGAAATAAGTTTGTTTTATGCTTCTAATAATTCTTATTTTCTTTGGCTACTTCTGGTGTGCTGTTCTATGAATATATTGACTAATGTGTTCTAGTAATCATCACAGGTCTAATGCTGGTAAACATGGTAATCTGAATTTAAATCATTGCTTTCTACCATGTTACAATTCACCATAATAATGTGTTGTAAATGTTTAATATATTTTTTTCTTCATAGTATTCCTTTCAAAATATGTTTTATTCATTTTTGTGTGCATAAATTTTGGTTAATGCACTAGCATACTGTGGTTAGTTTAATACTGTCTTTTTCTGTGGAAAAAAGATATAAACAGAAATAAGAAATCTGTGAGCTGGGTACTCAGAAAAACTATAAATGCACTCACATAGATTTTGTGTTTAATTCTCATAGATGTGGCTAAACTTTAAAGAAGTAAAATGCTCTTTTTCTCAGATAAAATTAGATCACTCCAAATTTGTTTTATCATTAAATATTTATTTTCTTCTTCAGCAAATACAATGCATTGTGTATATACTGCAGGTGGCAGTATCTCCTTTGGGTAGTGTAGGTCTTTCTGTAACACTGATTTATTTGAAAAAAACCCTAAATCTCAATTCCACAGATAGATTCCATTAATCAGAGAAATTAATTATTCAGTACCAGTTTATAGGTAGCTGTTACCTGCCCGTAAGCAAAATTTCAGTGGGGTAGTCTAAATTTGCCAAGTATTTCTAGTATTCTAAAAAAACTCAAATATTTTTCATTTGTACAAGATATTTTTACATAAGAGATGCATCATTTTATACTATAGAAAACAACAGAATTATTATTATTTGATAGGCATCTTAGAAACTGTTTCAGGCGAAAAAAACCCCAGTAATCTGACTATTGAATGTATCCAGTAGATTTCATGAACTTCATTTTTCTTTTATCCTGCAGTTGGTGGACCGAGTATTTGATGAAAGTCTCAATTTTAGAAAAATCCCTCCAATAGTGCATGCGAAACCCCCGGAAGGGAATGGTCGGCCTAGTGATGCCAGACCTCAGCTGACAGAGGCCCTCGATCCCCCAACAATTACCCGCAGAAGGACTTGGAGCAGAGATGAAGTGAGCACACAACAGGATTCTCTCTAAGAATGTGTCAATTTTAAGCTTTTACAATTATCTCCCCACTTATAATTCTAGACATTATCCTGTCTCTCCTACCTCTAGCAGGTGGCATTAATATTTGAAAAAATGATGTATTATTTTATCAGCAAAATGTTCAAATATTGTATTGATACTATCTAAAACATAAGAAAGATTTTTTTATACTTGAAGATACCAAAATACGTATAGTTGTTACTATTAAACTAATAATATCCTTTTTTATTAAAAACTCATTGCAGGTTATGGGGGACAGTTTGCTGTTGTCCTCAGTCTTCCAGTTTTCTCGCAAGATAAGACAATCCATAGACAAAACAGCTGGCAAAATCAGGTGGGTTGTTAAAAATGGCTGTTATTGATGAAAACGTCTGTTCCCATCAACATTCCCAGCAGTAAAAAAAGATACATGTGATAGTTACAGAGGAAATCTACATAGTAAGAACTTGTCTTTTAAAAAAGCACTCTTACCTATGGCATTTTTAACATTCCAAAGTATTTGGAATGAATACTTTTTCCATTAACCCTTCTGTTTATTTCACTTTATATGAAGAGAAATATCAGGAAAGTTTACGTGGACAGAACAACATCCAGCAGAGGAGCTCTTCCAACATATGCAATACTGTGCAAAATCTACACAACCTCTGTGCAAGTCTTGTAAAACTCCCTTCCTTAAAAGATAAGATTAAAATGTTGCTAAGCTCTAAAATTGATCCCTGTAGGTTTGCCAAGTTGTTTGTAAGGATTTTGCATTTTTTAACTCCTCAATGACAAGCAAGTACTAAATTTTCCATTGTATTTGAAATTTCTGATATCCAAGCTGTATGGCTTTGCAAGCTTTTTCACTCCTTGCCAAAACATATGAAAAATTTGACAGACCTCTGATGATGAACTTTTTCAAAAGATGATGACCCTAGTTAATGCCTTAACATGTTTCATGTTTTCTTCTCTGCAATTCTGATTACTTTTAATTTATTTATTAATTCCTTCCCCAAGAAAAAGTGTGTATTAATGTTTACTCCTTGTGTGCTTTGTATGTGAATACACCCAGGTCTGGTAGAAGTGGTCACTTGCCAAAATGTCCCATGACATTTTGTCATCAAAGTAGCACTTCCTCTGACATAGATCTGTTCCAAAGCAGCAGTGAGTGAAAACCTCAAAGACAGAATAGTTAAAGCTGCTTCTGCATGAGTTGTCTACAGACATCTGTGTGATAAAATAACGCAGGGTACCTATTGAAAAATTAGGTATTCCTGACAGGATAATAATGGAGAATGAAATTCCCCATACGATATACAGAACTGAAGAAAGGTGAACAGAAATGCAGCACTAAGGCTCACAGCTTTCTTTCAAATTCTTAGTCTTTGTGACATTCACTGTATCATGAACTTGCAACTTAAAAATTATTTCCTCAGAGACCTAGTTACAGTGATAGCTTCTTTTAAATATACTGCTCTTTGACCATTATTTGAAACACTGTGGTTTATTTGCTTAGCAGTTTTACTGCAGCTATTTTTGAACTTTTAAATACCAATTACAGAATAAGTGGATTCTGTGTCATTCTTTTTCTTTTTCTTTTCCAATTGCACCAATGGAGAAAGTTCAAATTCTGAATATTATATGACAATAAAAACAAAAATTTTATCAAGCAGGGAAGCAAGACATAAAAAATGGGAATCTCCCAGTATGCTTTGGAGTTTTACAATTAGAAGTGAGTTTTAAACATGTAATATTAGTGATACTCATACTACTAGAACATATATATATAATGTACATATTGCGACTTTTCAATTAAAATTTTTTTAGAAAGTGCTTTTTTAAAAGTTTCCTAAAGTGTTTATTTTTATTTTTATTTTTATTTTTATTTTTATTTTTATTTTTATTTTTTTTTTATTTTATTTTTTATTTTTATTTTTATTAATATAAAATACAAATGTAAAAGTTGAATTCCTTTATCTTATATTATGCTGTTATTGTAAAATGCAGTATTAGTGGGGAGTTTTCTCACTACAGTAAAATACCTGGCTTTTAAAAAATGTGTCAGTGCTGGAGGAAAGAACCAGCCGTGTCTGTATATATACCATAAGCAAGAATTTAGCTACAGAACTGCCATTTTAATGTCAATAATAATGATTTTACTGAAAATCATGAAACCTGTATGCTTCCCTGAAAATTTAAAATGTATGATTAGATTCTGTCAGGTTTCAGTTTTTTATATTTTATTCTAATTTAGTACTCCTTATGTTGTTTTCTCCTATCATGTTATTTAATCTTTCAAATTATTTTGTGGGGGTTTTTTTCTATTTTAAACATACTGTTGGATTTCTTTCTTCTAGAATATTATTTAAGGACAAGGACAGAAATTGGGAAGAAATTGAAAATAAGTTACGAGCTGAAAGTGAAGTTCCTATTGTGAAAACATCAAGCATGGTATGAATAGTTACCTTTTCTGGGACTGATTGTGCTGCTCATCTCATGGCTAAGTAATCAGTAGAGGAATGTGGCATTTTTAGTGACAAGGGCAAAACTCTTTAAAAGCTCTTATTTAGACAATAAATAGGTTTCAAGAATAAACCTAATCTTTAATAATGACTAAGACTTACTGTCTTAGTAAGTAGTTACTTTCTTATTGTCTCATTAAGAAACAAGAAATTGTTCAGGGGAAATTTTCAGATAAAGAGTGCAGTAAAAGGGATGCAAACTATACATAGACCATCAGTATGTTTGTTAAATAAAAGGTAGCAACCATTAATTGGAATGTTAGATTGCTTTTTAATTAACTTGGTTTACAGTCTAAAAACTGCTTTACCTACTAATCATTAATGCTTAATATATAATACTTACCAGTAGTAATACTGATTATTAATATTTAGAGAAATTGTTTTGTTTTAATGCATGTGATGAAGATAATCCATAGACACATTGCAATAAAAGGACTTTTCAGTGAAAAATAATCCTGTTGGTTTTGTCTAGAAGTGGTAACCATAGATTCACACTAGAACTCCAGCTGTTTTATTTAATAGCCTAATTACTTAAATCAGCTATCCTTTATGGCCTAGTGTAAGGCCATTTCGAGACCAGAGTGTGTGACAGTGTGACGGGACACACCACAGGTTGTGTCTCAGTACATGTCTCCCCTGCTTCTAAACACAGAGCGTAGGGTTTGAAAAACATCCCTACATGAGACAGCAGGCAGAGCTCACTACATTATCCATCTACAGAGTCTGCTGTTAAAAATACCTCTTTACAGAGGCAGGATTTTCTGTGGGAGAAAAAACTGCTCAAATGTGACTACATTTCCTCTGGCATGGAACAGACTAGAACTTCTCTGTTAGCTCATCATCAGCTAGTAAACTCCTTCAGACTAATTTTTTCTGGAGGTATAAAAGACTTGGCCTGTAATTTTGGCAGAATGGTGTATTTATGAAGAACAATCATTAGTAACTCAGTACTATAATTTAATAGATTTGTTGATAGTTTTTGTTAGGTGTTTTCAAAAATTTAATTAAGCAAGCTCCTAATGGAAGTTTCTAATTTTAGAAATATTATAATATAAGGAGTTTTTCTTATCCCTCTCCAGAATAAGATCCAAATGTAGTGCTTTATATTCTACATGTCCTAAATATGGGGGGTTAAGGTACTCTTTAAAAAAGAAAAAGATTAATTGTATATTTATCCTAAGTTAACCATTTTACTGATTTTTTTCAGTCTATTGAAGCATCTCACACTGCTTGAAAGTTTATGGGTTGCTTGTGGTATTTTTTGTATATGAACTGATTTTCAAGATTCTGCTTAGATTTCAGAGCAATATGTTGTTCAAATGCAGTGTCTTTTTTACCACAGAACACTGAAAGTTAAGAAAGGACAGTTTTAAGTGATGTTTGTTTTGTCCTTGGAACATTTATGTCCAGCTCAGATGTGAAATCTGCTTAAAGATAATGACTTCGTAAAGATAATCAATCTCTTTGCCACCCATGAAAATCACGCTACTTAGTACAGAACAGTTTTCTGAAATGGATTAATGGTTTTCTGAAATCGGTGCCTTTGAAAATTCTCAGCTTTAGAATACCACTGACAGCTCTTCTCAGCAACTCAGTTAACTCTAGTCTTCCATTTAGGATCCTTCAATTGTAGGATTTACAGATTTATACTAATATAAATATGCTAATTATATAACCAGGGAAATTACTCAGGAAGTGTGTCGCTGTTGAAGCAGGACAGGAATGAGGAGACTCTGCTCAGAAGGCTGCTCAGAGTAAAACTCTGGTTTATTCAAAATGCACTGCTCTTTTATACAGAGCTTTGTGAGGACCAACTCCTTTGGTCTTGAATTGAAAACCAGCCACACCATTGGTGCAGAGTGCTTGATGCACAGTGATAGAAAACTATAAACAATGTGAACAACAAGAGAGATAAAGAATTATTTACATTCTTATCCAGCTCTTTCCCAGGCTTCTGCCTGGCTAGAAACTCTCAGTTTCTCTCTTTGACTGAATCTGAGACCCACAGATGGTAATAACATCAAGCCTGCCAGATTTCAAGAACCCTTTGTAAAATGCTCTCAGGCACTTGGCGTGATTCTTGGGGTGTCCTGTGCAGGGCCAGGAGCTGGACTCAAATGATCCTTGTGGGTCTCTTCCAGCTCAGGTTTTTCTGTGATCCTACAGCTTAAGATGCGGTCCTTTTAATGATTGCTGTGTTTCTCAGTGCATTGCTGTGGCTATGTCTATGTTAGCAAGTAGTGCAGCACAGTGGAGAAAAATTTGTAAGGCAGAGTGCTGAGACCTGGGTGCTGAGCACTGGGGTGCTGTGCAGGGTCTCATGGGCACAAGAGCCAATGGGTGCAGACAGAACCTTGATGCAGTCATCTTACTGTATGACTCACATCTCTAAAACTTTATAAATTACTCTGTTCCATTTAATACTGAGTTTATCCTGTAACTTCCCTTTCAAGGTCTGCTGTTACTTTGCTTGATCTCTACTGAGCTGTGGTAGAGCAAAGTCTGTGCTTGAGCAGAGGTGGCACAGGCAGATGAGCAAGGGTCAGAATGAGGCCATGGGGATGGTAGCAGGCAGTCAGTGCAGAGGACTCTGGGTTTCTGAGTGGAACATGGCTCTCCAGCCTCCAGCACTGCCACCCATGGCTGGCCACCACCAGCACGGATGTTCTTGATGCCAAGAGGGACAATCCAAATAGGATAATGCAATTGGACAGCTTTGGGAGGGGTATTGTTCACTCCTGAGAGGTAGTTTAATCTCTTTTAATTTAAAGGTTAAATCTCTTTTTCCGTACTGGAAATTTCCTTTGTTTTTCCATCATGGCCTTAAGATGAGATAGGGAAGATTCAGATTAGACATTAGAAAAAATATTTTTCACTGTTAAAGTGGTCAGGTCAGGAACAGATTGCCCAGGGTGGAGTCACCATCCCTGGAGGTGTTTAGGAGGCTTCTGGATCTGGCACTGGGTGATGGTTTAGTGGCATAAGAACTGCAGTGGCATATCTGGATTAACAGCTAGACTTAAAAGCTTAAGGGTCTCTTCCAACCTCTTCCAATTGGTTGTTTCTTTTCTAGGAATATCATCAATCTTACAGGAACTGACAACGAGTTGAGAAGCAGCTGCAAGGTACAAATCTTTTTTCACTTTTATCTTCTGTCGTTGCTCGCTTCAATTTTTTTTAATAGATATCTATATGTGCATATATATATATATATATATATGTATATGTATATATATATATATATAATGAAACAAAGGGACTGTGATTTATTAAAATATATTCACAGTATCAGTTATGTACATTGTTATCATATAACTGTGATACATTTGATAAACAAACATGGCTGGTTTTTTAAAAGCAGAAGAGTGATCATATCTTTTTATGTGGGATTAGTGGTCCATGCTTATCATCATTATGTTAGTTGTAAATTTCCTATATTTGTTATTTTTAGCATTCAGATTGAATCTGAGAGCAAATCATGCTTTAAAAAGAATTATTCAAGAGGAGTCATTAACCACCTTTAGAGACAAATCAGTAATAAATGTTCGCATGTATTTGGAAATAAAAAAAGAGAAGTTTTGTTAAATGTGATACATATGTTAATGATGTAATAAAATTAAATGGTAAAAAGTACTAACTGTGTGGATAAATGACTGCTGTTTTATACAAATTTCATTCAATCATGGAATCAGCAACTGTAGCTATTTTCTGTGGTTGGGGTGGACCAAAGTATAATATAATGGTAACATCAGGGGGAAAGCCACTTAAGTTAAAACCATCCTTCTGTCCCTATAACCTAATCATAGATGGTTTATCATCCCTGTTTCCTATCCATACATCAATTCGTGTTTAGTTTTGTGCAGTTTCATTTCATCTAAAGTTTATTATATGTACTGCTTTTGAATACATGTATCAGTTTACATCTATGTTGGATACACCATTTCTTTGTCATGGGCAACACACATAAAAACTCACATCTGTCATCATAAAAATGGAAGTGTGAGATAAGGATTTCCATATTTTTATAGTAACAGAAAATTGTATTTTTTATGGTTTCTTCCCTATCCTTCTCATCTCTTCTTCATTGCTTAGCAATTAATGCCATGATTGACCCTGACGGTACCCTGGATGCTCTGAGCAACTTGGGATTCGCCAGCCCCATCTTAGCAGCCCAGCCAAAGCCGAAGCCCCAGCCCTGCTTCCCAAGGCCCTCGCCCAGCAGGGCAGCCAAACTGCCAGCCTGAGCCCCGGGCTGCCCGTCCCACCACCGGCCCTGTGGCATCTGAATTGGAAAATGCTGAATCCGAGGCAGATTTCAGCATGCATTTCAATAGGTTTAACCCAGATGGGGAAGAAGAGGATGCCACCCTGCGTGAGTGACGTCTCAGTGTTTTGATACAAAAACCTTTCATGTGGAATGTTTAGAAATCAAGGAAACTTATAATGTTTGTTTTTATAATTAAAAAAAAAAAGGCTTGGTCAAACAGCAGTGTTTTATTAAAACAGTTTTTTTAAATTGTGATGCTTTGATTGTCACACCAAATCCTTTTCAAATCATAAGATATGCATAGATACCAGTGTAGGAAAGCAGATTGTGGCAGGTTTGCCCTTTGTGGTTGTGTGCTTTGCGAAAGAATTATTATAACAGCAGTTTTCCCTTAATAGATTTATTTCTTTTTAACAAGCCATGCAAGCAGTCTAACATTTAATGAAAACCCCCAAATCTCTTTGCCAAGCTGCTCTGATGAACAGACTTCCTCCTCTAAAGCTTGTAACAGAACAGTTGAACTGTGAATTTTGATTTTGAATTAGATGATTTATATAGGAAACATTATCTTTGACTACAATGACACATTACTGCTAAAAAGTAAGACAGATTTCAGAAAGCATTCATTCTCATGTATTGGAAAAATCTCACCCAGTTCTGTGGTTTATGTAATCTTGTTGCTGCGTAAATTGTCTTGGGGTTTACAATAAGTTCACATATTATGTTTGCACTAAAATTTGCTGGAGTGGTAGGTGAACATATCGATATCATTGAACAGCAAGCAGTGTTTTGGTGTACATAGAAAACTGATAATACTGTCCTTGTATTATCATTGCAGTGTTTTAATCCACTTTCTGAAAAGACTATTTGGCACTTTTTTATCTTCTTCAAAAGTCCTTTTGATGTTAATGAAAGTAGAAGTATTTCGTAATCTCATTTCTGTCCAAATCTTTGTTGAAACTGACTAGGAAATAAATTTGAACGTAATAGCAATGCAGGACATATTAAATCATATTGAGGCAAATGGGCTCTCAACCAATCAAATGCAATGTAAGCTTACAGAAGAAATTACTGTTTATTTGGAATGATCATGAGGTGTAAAATTTTCTTTAGGGAACTTGGAAATAGAGTTGTCATGATTTCCTTGATCAATAGATGCACTCCCAAGCAAATTATTTTATTTGCTTCTGTATATTTTCCTGTACGTCTGGCTAGTAAAAACTGTTCCTGTCTTACATATTTAAAAGGATTCTGGACGACAACTGCTAACATGGACATTTTGCTTATACCACTGAAAAGCAAGTCTATTTAAAGTTTCCTATATAAGCCCTATTTTCCTTATCAGTTGTCCCAGTAACTTAACATTTGGAATAGAGAAAAAAATTAAAGTAAATTACTTTGTATTTCCAGAACCACTGTAATTTGGAGGAATGTTTTTTCTGTTAAATGTAACTAATAGACTGGAATTTTCTTGTTTGCATCAGTCTCTAATATATTAAGGTTAAAGATACAGTTTTGCAGCTTTTATGAAATGGTCTTTAATATTTCAGCAATAAATCCTATATGAGATTTGTTTTTAAAAAAATTACTTTCTGTACGCTTTTAAATTGTACAGGCTTTCAAAAATCAGTAAAGTTGGACCAGTTAATAAAGATGCAAAAACTTTTTTTGTAGAGATGTAAAAACAAAACCACTAATCTGTTGTATAATGGATTTCATATTTTCTTTAAAAAAAAACTAAAAGCAAACAGTCTTCATGTATGACTCAATATGCTCTACTCCAGCTAACTATGGGAGCCTGAATGGCACTAGTTTACAGGGGCTACAGGAAAATTTTTGAAGGTGGCAGAAGGGCAAAAATAGATGGAAAACTAGAGCTAAGTGCTGAAAACTGAGTGTACCAAACCATCACCACAATTCCTCCTTTGTTTAATGCTTGGGAACATAATTTTTCTGCAGATTCAAGTGGAAAGCAGGAATGGCTAGGAAGGACTAAAGGTGCAGGCTCTTCATACGAGGTTCTGTTTGTGTTATTTCAGGCATTTTTACCTTTATGTTGTGTAATAAGCATTTTGCATTACTATGTTATTATTTTGTATGGACATGTTCTCCTTATTTATTTTTTGTTACATTTATTATGTATGTTATTTTGTTATATGCATTTACAACTCCATTTTTAAATAAAGTGTTTTCTGGAACTTTACAATGTGTGAATATGTAATTGAGAGCTGGGAAGTTCACACAATCTTTCTGCAGACTAACTCGCCTTTACTGAAATAGGAAATTACATTTTTTCATAAATACCTTCTCTCCAGAAAAAAGTTATTTTATTGCCACCACTGGATCATTTGTTCTGTGCTGACAGGATTGACTTGCTGTCCGTACTCAGGTTCTTTCCCACACTTGAATTAATTTTGGCGTGCAAAGCTAGAGGCATAAAGTAATCAGTATGCCATCACCAAACACTGCCTCTGTTTCCCTTCTAATGCACCTGCAGCTGCAACAGTAGATGGTTATCAAACTGTTTTCCTCTGCCTTTCACATATTGGAAAACTTTACTGAATATGCTGATCTGGCTCCACACTGCTGCCTTTGTTTCTTCTGTCCTAGGTTTTGACTCTATGCCTGCTTTTCCTGCAAGACACTAAATTGCCATTTCTTAGCTGGCTTCATGCAGGAACAAAACCTTGAATTTAGTAAAAGCTCCATGAATTTCTTCTCAGATTAAACATTTCGGTGTTGCTGAGCTTTGCTGTGACTCAGCATCACCCACTCTGATCCTGCTTCTGCTAGTGAGTAACACTCACTAGCACTCAGCTCTTGAGGGGCAGGAGATTTCTGCTGCTCTTACAGAGATGCCAGTTTGGTACAGTCAAAATCGTGAGAAAGTTACAAGGGCTTTCCACTTGCACAGGAACTTCATAGTCCCCAGTTTCATTATCTGCTAACATTTCTTCACTTGTAGCCAGCATCCCTCTGTCTTTGCAGAGGATAGAGGAATGCACTTCTGGGCTGTATTCTCATGTGCAGACTCCTGCATGATTTTAAGCAGAAATGCTCTTCCCATAGAGATTTTTTAGGACCACTCTACTTGGAGCCAAGGTTATGCAGGGCTGTTACTCAGTAGTATTTAGGAAATCCAGCCAGATGGCCTCAGTTATGTGCTCTCTTCAGGCACCAACAAGTGTCAGGACACAGGGGAAGCAGAATTCAAAGCTTTTTCTGCATCAGCACTGTTGGCTCCTCCCTTGGCTACATGCACTGCTTAAATTCTACACCCAACAGCTTCAGCTAGATGCTCACATCTAGCTGTAGCATACAGAAATAAACCTAAGACATAATTTGTGTGCTAAACTGGTAACAGCAACATGGTGTTTCACCACAGTATCTACATTATACAAAGCAACTGGTGCTGTAATCTCAGAAGAGAACCTTGCCTCTTTACAAAAAGTGACTTCCATCAATACCTGTTGGAAGGTCTTTGTAATTTGAACTGGGAAGATTTTAAGCATAAGAAAGATCTACAATTACTGCTGTGGTATGCAGCCATGAAAGCAAGGGTGTTCCTTCATGCAGGAATGTATGAAGCCTTGATGACATGGTAAAAGGAGGCTACTCACTGCCTGCCAAGGTGATTTTGTACCCCAAGTCTTTTGTATCCAAAGAGAATTACAAGGAAGAAAACTTGGCCACTCCACATACAAGTTGCTTAGCTTCATCTTGGTGAATAAACAGAGTTTTTCAAGTGTAAGAATGTCATCTCTGACTTTAAACAGAGCTAGATCTGTAAATGCTGACAGGGTTAAAATCCTGGTAGTTCAGCCATGATTTCCAAATATTAAATATATCCAACAGTGTCTGTCTTGGCAATATTGTCAAAGGACAGCTGCCTAATGCTGAAGAGCATTTCCAGCTGCACTTGCTCAGTAATCTTGTAAAAACAATTTTTGTTTTCAACTTGGTAAGCCTTAGCCTTAGCCAGTGCTGTTCCTGCCGGTGACAACCAACTGGTTGGGGAGCAAGGCATTTCCTCTTGAGATTCTTTTCTCATTAGTCACATATTTGGGTAGAAAAAAAATGCATTTAGGAAACAATTGGGATAAAGCATCCCTAGAAATACTTTAAGCAGGATAAGAGAACTGGAAGCCTGCTGTCAAAGATGTTTACCTTTTCCAATGAGACCACAGTTAACGCTGAAAACTAAACTCAGTGCTCGCTTTGTCTTGCTGACAGCTTCACGAGCAGTTATTATTTTTGAAACAGTTCTTACCTCATGTCTGGGGAGAGCTCTTAAAATTAGAGGGTGTTAGAAAATGTACTCCCTGGGGAGTCTGTATTAAAACAGGTGTTTGTAGTTATTGAATGCCCTTATGGCAATATAGGGCAACATTTGGAAGTAATGTTTACCAAAATCATTCAAACACTAAGGCCTTAGGGGGTGGAGTGAGAGGATATAGAGATTGTTCATTTCAAGGGTAGTCCCTGCATTTCCACTTACAAATTAACATGTGCTTGCTAAGGTTGCTGGTCTTGTCAATCAATTCCTTAGGACTAGTATTTTTAGACCTATTTCAAAAGATTAATAGATGTGTTGATGAGGCTTTCTGCTACTATGGAATAGCTAAAAGTATCCGAAATCTAAATATTTGTATATTTTTTCATATATATTTTTAATAAAAAATAACTGCTTAGAAGCAGAATTAATTATCTTTGAACCAAATTGTGATCTTAAGAGAAAGTTTTATTATTAAAATTAATTAATTATTGTTTTAAACAAAAATGGGCAACATGAGATTTCTAAGTTCTGTATGGAGATGTGGACCTGTACGAATCCAAGCACAAAGAACAAGGATTTTATATAAACTTACAAAAGTTACCAGGTGGCTTCACATTTCATTTTCAGCATCACTTCTGGGGTAATGTGGTTTATAAGTTGAGAAAAATTCATCAAAGAAAGAAACCAAATGTGGATGCGAGATGTGGTTGGGTTATCCATGACTGATTTTGTTGAGAGATGAGAGAAATTACTGCAGATAATTCAGGAGGTTTTTAAAACTATTTAGACATTAAATACCTTAATATAGTTTTTGAAGAAAATGTCATTAATGGTATTTCCCAATATAGCAAATGATTCATAAGTGAACAGGCAGGATGGGATATTCTCAGCAGATGTTACCAGATTAGGAGACTCAATGAAGTGCAGAAAGTTAAGCAAACTTTTTAAAAGCTTTTGAAAGAAATCAAATGACAGAGATGAACAGAAGTGAAGGAGAGTTGGGCAGGAACACACTGTCTCCAGCCATAGCAGTAGGTGTGACAGAACCATGCAGCTGGTTCAAGGCAGCTTTAGCACAAAGGAGAACTGTAAGATACAGGAGGTTTCTAAGCATTTGCCTGCAAGAATGGTACTTCCAGAGCTGGTAAGAAGCTGGCAGGAAAATATCTTTCCTGCTCAAAGATATGTCTCAGGCGCAAGAGGGACTACAGCCCCCCTGCTCCTTGGCAGGAGATGGCAGCTGGAAGTGTGTGGGGGTTACTGATTGCATCAATAATCAAGTAGATTTTCACTCTGCAGAATAGCTGGAGTTTCTCAAATAAACTGGTTGAGCCAATAGACAGTGCTTTCCATACAAAACCCTCCAAACAAATTCATATCCCCCAGTGCAGTTTATGTTTTCCTGCAATAATTTTTGGACTTCACAGACAAAATTTCAGTAACTGACTAAAGATGCAGGTGTATGATATTATTGTGTCGTTACCTGCACACTCAGGAACTCAAGTGCTAACAAAAATTTTGCTGTACAATCATGTTCATTTTTTCTTTTGTTTTCATACATGCAAGCAATATACACAAACCAGGCTCCTCATGTGATTGCTGCTGTCAGTATGATGGGCAGCTGAACAGATGGTTGTTTAGAAAAATCCACTTTTTAAAATACAACTTATGCAGTATTCTGAACATCTAATACGTTGCTTTCTTCCCATCACAAATCTGAGGTTAAAGTGTTGCTTTAATAATTTCTTGAGTTGATTTCCTAAGTGTACAAGCTCTTCAAATTTAGATCCTCTTCAACACCTTTGCAGGTTTAAAATGCTGGACTATATTGAAAATCACATCTGAGGCTTTACTGGAGTTATTACTCTGGGGGAAGCAGAAGTTCAAATACAAAATTGAAAACACAGCTTAGTGGCTTATCTCAGCTCTAACATGAGCCCCAGGCATACAGACCTTTGGAGCCATGTTTCAAGCTGCATGAGCAAGGTTTGCTGTTTGGTGCAAGCAACATTTGTTGTTGTAGTTTTGAAAATGTGCTTTTAGACTTCCAAGGTATTTGAGTATCTATATTCCTAGCTTTGGCCAATTTAAGTATTTTATCACAGAATCATAGAATAACAGAATGGCTTGGTTGGGAGAGACCTTAAAGATCTGATTTCAATAGGCAGGGGATCTGCTACCAGGCCAGGTTGTTTAAAACCCCATCCAACCTGACCTTGAACACTTCCAGGGGTGCGGCATTTACAGTTTCTCTGTACAACTTGTTACAGTACATCACCATTCCCGCAGTAAAGATGTTTTTCCTGTTTAATATAAAAATATTTTCTTCAGGTTGAAGCCACTTCCCCTTGTCCTATCACTATATGTCCTTGTAAAAAGTCTCTCTCCATCTTTCTTGCAGCCTCACTTTAGGTACTGAAAGGCTGCAGTTAGGTTACCCTGAAGCCTACTCTTCTCCAGGGTGAACAATCCCAGTTCTCTTAGTCTTTCCTTGTAGGAGAGTAAGAAGCATTTTCAAAGTTAAAAGTGACATGAATAAAGACATCCATCATTTCCCTTTTAATGGTGAAGTGATTTGCTTTGGAAAATATGTGCATTTCATGTCACTGGAAGAAAACTGTCAATTAAATTATGCACTTGTCCCTTAATGCTCCAGCAGTGAATTACAAGTTAAGCAGGGCTGGTCTCTATGAAGTCAAAGGAAAAGTACATGCAGCCACAGTTTTGTACTTGCTTATTTAGTGCAAACCCAGATCACTACATTTTGGTTTTCCCTTGTATACAGTTATGTAAAATTCAGACAAGCTGTCCCCACCACAAATATTTTTAAATGAGATGGTTATAAACTTTAGCTTGACATTGTAAAAGCAATGATTTTAAAATTTGTAGGTAAAAATTAATCCTGAATGACATCGATTTCTTTTAAT